GGGGGGAGTGTGGGGTGTGAGCTCACACTCTCTGGGGGGAGTGTGGGGGTGTGAGCTCACACTCTCAGGGGGAGTGTGGGGGTGTGAGCTCACACTCTCTGGGGGGAGTGTGGGGTGTGAGCTCACACTCTCTGGGGGGAGTGTGGGGTGTGAGCTCACACTCTCAGGGGGGGAGTGTGAGGGGTGTGAGCTCACTCTGGGGGGGAGTGTGGGGTGTGAGCTCACACTCTCTGGGGGGAGCGTGGGGGTTGTGAGCTCACACTCTCTGTGGGGAGTGTGGGGGTGTGAGCTCACACTCTCTGGTGGGAGTGTGGTGGTGTGAGCTCACACTCTCAGGGGGAGTGTGGGGTTGTGAGCTCACACTCTCAGGGGGGAGTGTGGGGGTGTGAGCTCACACTCTCTGGCGGGGAGTGTTGGGGTGTGAGCTCACACTCTGTCACCCCCGCTGGACCTGCATCCACACACCAGGCACGGTTGAGACCGAGCCGCACATTTTAACGGCTTCAGGGCTCCCGCCTGCCCGTCTGGTTGGCGGCACACTTTACAGCGGGGAAGCGTGTGCGTGGGGGGAGGCGCCGCTTGGCTGACCACCGATCCCAGCACGATGTCCACAGGCAGGCCTCTTCGGGGAGCCCCCCCCCTCCGGCAGAGACCGGACCCTGAGCTTTGCTGAGGACCCGAGCGGCCTCTCTCCAGCAGAGGAAGATCTGGAGCGCCGGGAGCGCCCAGGGTGCAGTGGCCGTGCCTGGGCCTGCCCCCAGCTCCCTAGGGAGGAGAGGGTGGCCTGGGGACTGGGGCTGGCGCGGGGCGGCCACCGCCGGGCGCCAGGGGCCGGGCGCCCCCGCCTCCGCTCCCGTCGCCACGGAGATGCGGGAGGCCTCTCTGAGCCCGGGCTATTTCTGTCTGGAGACTCGCTGTCCTGCAGGCTGAGTCACCCTGTGTACGCACCCGGCCGCGGGGAGCAGGCCCACCCACCTGCCCGGGCAGGGCCCCCCACCCCCGTAGACTGGAGCCTTCCCCTGTCTCTGGGGGCAGCTTTGCGGGTGTTGGGGTGCCGGGAGGTCGCGCGGGGGGGGAGGGGGAGGACCCTCCAGTCCCTTCCGAGCTGCAGCACAGCCTGCTTGACAAGGGTAAACTGAGGCTCGGAGCAGGTGTGCATCTTCCTTTGGGAGCCACCCACCAGAGAAGGCCCCCCAGCCCCCAGGCGGCAGGGGCAGGGCCAGCGCCGCGTGGCCGCCCCGCTGCTGGGCTTTCTGGGCAAGCTAAGGCGCTTCCGGGCTGCGGGGGTGTGGGTGAGCCAGCTGCAGCCCGGGGGAGGGGGCTGAACCCAGGCCGCTGCCCGCCCTGCCGGGCCTCCCAGGGTGTCCGGGAGTGTGCCAGTGTGCGTGCACGTGTGTGTGCAGATACCTGTAGCAGACCATGCACACGCTCCAGGGCACTCTGTCTGCCGCCAGACACCACGTCACCAGACCGGTTGGTGGCCAAGCTAGCCTGGTGCCTGGGTCTCCCCGCCCCAAGCGGGCAGCGGGCTCCAGCTCCTGCGGTGGAGGAGATGCCAGTCCCAGGCACCACTCCAACTGTAGCCAGCCGAGGCCTGGCAAACCCAGAGCCACCCACGGGCAGGGGGCGGGGGTGGGGGTGGGGGTGGGGGTGGGGGGCAGGGGGTGGGGGGCAGCGGCAGGGGGTGGGGTGGGGGGCAGGGGGTGGGGGGCAGGGGCAGGGTTGGTTGGCAGGAGGACCCTGGAGGCCCAGGCCGGCGGGTGGCCCCGGTGGCCCAGGCCGCCCCAGAGCAGGTGGCGGATGGAGGGAGGGCGCCGAGCAGGCTTCCCCCTGCTCCACCGCTCCCCGCGCGCTGGCCCTCAGCCTGGCCTGTGGGCCTAGGACAGAGCACAGGAAGCCACCGGCGCCCAGGCCCATGAAAAGCCCCTTTGGCGGGCGGCTGAGCACGGAGCTGGGACAGCAGGACAGCGGCCGCGCTCTAAGGGAGACGGTAACAGGGAGGGAGCCCGGGGGGGTGCGGGTCTTCATGGCACGCGGGGACCCCCTCCTCCACGGGGGACCCCGAGCTGCAGGGGTGAGGGGGGCCCCCTCCTCCACGGGGGACCCCAAGCTGCAGGGGTGAGGGGTCAGGGTGCCGTGTGTCTCCCATGGGGCTGCTGCCTGGCTCACCTGGGAGGACACGGGCCTGGCTCTCTGGCCCGGCCAGCTGGTCAGGTCTGGGGGCTCTGGGGGGGCTTGGACAGAGCCTCAAATTTGCAGGCTTCCTGGGGGCAGGGTGGGTCTGCACCCAGCAGAGGCCACAGGGAAGCTGGGGGGGGGTTGACCTGGCCTGCTACCCAGAAAGAGATCCTGCAGCCCCCGATGATGCTTGTGAGACCAGGCAGGGCCCCTGGCCAGGAAGGGAACTGAGGCCCAGACTGAGGGCCGTGTGGAGCGGGGTCTTGTTCTGGTGGCCTCACTGATCTGTGACCCCGTTCCTGGGGCTCCTCCAGAGGGGAGGCCCAGAGCCCGAGCTACAGACTATTCCCACACACACTCCAGCGTCCTGAGGCTCTTCTGTGTCTGCTAGGATGGGGCGGCCTGTCCCCTAGGCTGGGCCTCAGAAAAGGTCTCCCCCAGGACCAGCTCTGGGGCCTGCCCTTCCTGGAAGAGCCTGAAGAACTTCCTGAGAGAGCCCACCCCACGGCGGCCACGCCCACCCCACGGCGGCCGCGCCCACCCCACGGCGGCCACGCCCACCCCACGGTGGCCACGCCCACCCACATGGCGGTCATGCCCACCCCACGGTGGCCACGCCCATCACATGGTGGCCACGCCCATCCCACGGCGGCCGCGCCCATCCCATGGCAGCCACGCCCACCCACACGGCGGCCACGCCCATCCCACGGTGGCTCCGCCTAGCAATGGTGGCCACGCCCACAGCGGTGGGCCGGCAGAGCGGCCCTGGCTTCCTGACCGTCCAGCTAAGGGGCCTCTAGTCATCTACGGATCCAGGGAAGGGCTCAGTGGGCACGTGACACCCCCTCCCCCAGGGCCTCTCCTCCTCCCCTGCCCCTCCCCTGCAGGTCTGACTGTGATGGCAGGCCCGGGCCTCATGGTCCTGGCCCTGGTGCTGCCCGTGGGAGCCTGGACGGGCCTGGGGCTTCCGGGTCAGCCCTGTGTGCCCTGCTGCCACCAGGCCGGGTCCCCGGCTGTGGCCTCCAGGCCGGATGCCTGGGCGAGCGCTGGAGACCCGTGGGCAGGACCTCCCCACGTGTGCCCCACCATCGACATCACCATCCTCAAAGGTGAGTGGTCACTCGGGGTGCAGATCGCCCTTGGCGGGGCCCAGGGGCTGGTCCACACACGCTCCCCACTCCCACCGGCCCCATGACCGCCACCTAGGCCGTAGCGTGTGGAGTGACATCTCAGGGTCTGCCTGAGGGGCAGGGCTAGACCCCCTTACAGAGGAAACCGAGGCCAGGAAGCGCTGAGGTGAAGGTCAGCCGTTGACCCGGCCTGGCCCCTGACCTGCAGCTTCCACCCGCTCCCCTGCAGGAGAGAAGGGCCAGGAAGGTGTCCGCGGCCGCTCAGGACGGAGCGGGAAGGGGGGTCCTCCGGGACCCCGTGGGCAGCCGGGCCACAAAGGCCAGAAGGGGCAGGCGGGGCCCCCGGGCACCCCCTGCCGGCGCCCCCACACGGCCTTCTCCGTGGGCCGGCGCGAGGGGCTGCAGAGCGCGGACGGCTTCCGGGCGGTGCCCTTTGACACGGCGCTGGTGAACGTGGACGCCGCCTTCGACCTGGCCGCGGGCCGCTTCCGCTGCGCCGTGCCCGGCATCTACTTCCTGAGCCTGCACGTGCACACCTGGAGCTACAAGGAGGCCTACCTGCACATCATGCTGGACCAGCGGCCCGCGGCCGTGCTGTTCGCGCAGCCCAGCGAGCACAGCCGCATGCAGGCCCAGAGCCTGCTGCTGCCGCTGGCCGCCAGCAGTGCAACCGCGACAACGCCATCTACCGGGAGCCTTCAGTGGCCACCTGGTGGCCCCTGCCGCCCTGCTTTAGAGGCCAAGCCCCCCAAGACCTTCCCCCGCCACAGACCCAGAGCAGAATAAATGCCCGGCAGTGCCCGACTTCCGGCTGTGTGTGGTGGTTGGCTGCCACGGGAGCCGGGTGGATCCATGGCCTGCCTCTGTGGGTCGGCCACGTGCCGCCGTGCAGGGCTGGGGGGGGGGCTGGTCCCGGGAGAGCACGGGGTGAGTGACGCTTGCAGGGTCCTCTGTCTGTCAGGAAGTAGAGCCTCCAAGGGCGCCGGCCTGGGGTCGGGCCCCACGGGGTCCGCCGCTGGGCCTGCGTGGCAGCAGAGCCCACGGCGGTGCGGCGACTGGGCCGTGACTCCCTGCAAGGACACCGTGGCCCTGCTGGGCTCGCGTCCTCGTCCATCACCTTCGCACCGAAGCCGCTGAGATGGCCACGCCCCCCGGCCGTCCTGACCGTGCGCACACCTTCACCGACCCTCCTTGGCCCTGCCGTGGGCAGCCCAGCCCCCGAGGTGGCCGTGGGAGGGGCTCACGCTGCACTTTGGCCCTGGGCCCTGGGCTTGGGCCTGGCTGCAATGGCTGGCGCTGCCCCGGCGCCAGGCAACCTGCGGGCGTCCACACCCATTGCCTGCATGAACCAGAAGCCCGGGGCAGAGGACCCCGTAGAGACCAAGGCGCCCAAATAGGAAGGGGCCGGGACTCCAGGGCTCCTGTGCCAGCCCTGCCCCCTCCGCCAGGTCTTCATCTCCCTGCTGAATGAGCACCACCAGCTTTCTCCATGAGAGGGAGCCTTGCTGGCTTTTCTGCTTCGGATGTCCAGGACCTGCCATGCTCCTGATTTCAGCCTCCCGCTCGGCTGGGATGACCGGAGCCAACGGCTGCCCCCGGCGCATGGGAGTGAAGAAGTGGTCTGTGCATGCCCAGGTTGGCCTCAGACCTCGAGCCTCTCGATCTCAGCCTCCCAAGGAGGCGTGAGCCATCCCACTCCTGCAAGAATATGATAAGCAAGACGCACACACCGATAGAAAACGTTTGGTAAAATGACTCCGCGATCACCAAAGCGTTTGCAAAGGAGCGTGCTTTTCTCGAGGGTGGACCCCTGTTTTGGAAGGGGTGTTACCGAAGGCCCATCCTTCGGGGTGGAAGGTGGCTGGGTGGCAGAGCCCTGGGCCCAGGTTTGATCGAAGACGAGACTGAAGAAAAGCCCCTGGCGCACACCTGCGCCCCTAGCTGCTCAGGAGGCGGAGACCGGAGAGACAGTGCAAAGCAGCCACGGCAGACAATGCTTACCCTCACTTCCAAATAAACCAGCAACAGACGGCCGTGGAGACGTGACTCAAGTGTGGAATGCCCGCCACGGTGACGCTGCCGCACGCTGCTGTGCCCGGTGCCCGCGCGCCCGCGCCCGCTGCCCGCGCGCCCGCGCCCGCTGCCCGCGCGCCCGCGCCCGCTGCCCGCACGCCCATGCCGCGTCTGTGTCGTCCCGCCTCCTCCCTTTGTGCCTCAGCCTCTCCCAGGTGACTGCAAGGTGGGTGGAGGCCCCCCTTCCTCCCCCAGCGGCCCTGGAGCCGCACCAGCTGCAGCCACAAAAGCAAATGTCACAGGTCCAGCCGGTCCACAGGGCCGGCGTGGGCAGACATGGACGGACGGGGAGGGAGGGAGGCTCTTATTTCTGGAGGCCGCAAGGGATTCAAAATGCAAAAAAAAAAAAAAGATGTGGAAGAGGCCAAGCTAGAGTCAGGATGGGGGTTGCTCTGCAGAGCCAGACGCCGGAGGGAGGCCGAGCGATAAGGCCGCTGTCCTTGCAGAGAAGACAATCAATGCCAACCTTGCCCTGGGCTCCACCAGGCCCCAGCAACGGGGAGATGGGAGGGGACCCCCCTCCGCCCAGCTGTGCATGCTGATTTAATCAGCGCCACGCTCCCGGCCAGGAGAGCACTGGGACCCACACGTGTGCCCGTGCACAGGCCGCCAGCGCCCAGAGGTCCGAGTGGGCCAGGGGACAGGCCCCCACACTGGAATTCCAATAAAAAATACAACTTCATCACCACGCGGAACTCGCACAGCGCGGAGCTCTCCCCTGCGGGTGGTCGGTGGGGGCCTGCACCCCGTGCTCCAGCCCTGGGGAAGGGGGGGCTGCGGCAGCCCCGGGGTCCTGGGCTCCTGAGCTGTCCCGGAATCCCGGGAGCTAGGGCCCGACCCCTCCTCACGCCTTTGCTCAGCCGGCATTCGTCCGGGCTGCCCCTTGGCTATCACAGGTAACGCTCGTAGAAGGACGGAGGCAACGTGTTGGGCGCCAGGTGGGAGTCAGGAAACTGCCAAGCCCACTACACCAGAGAACACGATGCCCCGTGAAATGCTGTGACCCGCGACCCACCGGGGCCCAAGGCCACCCGGCACGCGCTGCGCCCAGCAGGCCCTGCCCCCAGCCCTCCCTCCCCTCCCCACACCCTCAGCACTGGAGCTCGGGGGACAGGCCCCAGGAAACGGGGTGGGGGATCCCCGGGCTCCCCTGTGATGGGGGTGTTGGTGCCCTCAGCCGGGGCCGGTGGCAGCTACGGCAGGCCCCCCCCCCGCCTGCACCCCACCCCACCCAGCAAACAGACGCCTCCTGTCCTCCATCCTCGGCCCTGCCCCGCAGGCCGGATTTCCTGAGCAAGGTCACTTGAGCGCTGGAGCCCGGCGGCCCATAAAACCCATCGAGGCGGACAGAGACCATAAAGCTGGCCACCCAGGATGTTTGCTCTGTGGCCCTGCACGCCCGCAGCCGCAGCCCGGCGGCTCCGCGCTGCCCTGTGCCCCCGGCCTGGCGTGGAGGCCCACGTGCCCGCGCAGACCCATGTTGCCCCGTGGCCTCCCGCCGGACCTTGGGGGGCGTCTGGGCCCTGGTTGCCGACTCAGTCCCCTTGGGGCCCTGGGTGCATGTGTCTGCACCTACCAGGCAGTGTCCCCAAGACATACATTCACCATAGAACCTTCCAGAACACCCCACAGCCTTCCCAGAACACTCTGGGGTCTCTCTCTCTCCGCAGTGGCCCTGCCAGGGGGCCGGTTTCACCAAGGACTGTGCTCTTGGGGCCCCGTCTCATCCGCCACAGGGCCAGGCGGCCTGTCCACCCCGGTGGCCCAGGTTCAGCACGCTGGCCACCCCGCAGAGGCTGACCGCACGGAGCCTCCGCTGTCCGCAGGCCCGCCCCAGAGGAGCATGGCGCCCCGCGGCTGGGGTCCCCACGGGGCTGCGGGCACATGGGCTCGGGCCAGAGGCGGGGCAGGATGGGGGAGACCCCAGGCCCCAGGCCTCTCCCTCCCTCCACACAGCTGGGCTCCTCCTGTAGGGTGGGGTCCCCCGGGGGGGTGAGGGGACGCGGGCTCCCGTCTGGACTCCCCACGGGCTCCCCACAGAGTCTTGAGTCAAAGATGATCTGGGCAGCGGCGTCAGCGCCCCACACTCGCTGCTCTGGGCTGGGGGCGTGAAGCCTGGAAAACGGCTGCCGGGAGTCCAGACTCAAGTGTAAGGCCCATCTACCCACAAAGCCATCGCAGGGGAAAGAAGCCCGATCGACTCGGGAAAATGAGGGACTGTGAGCTTACAGCCTTCACGTGCTTCCCTGAGAGGAAGGGACCAGGGTCGTTCAGGGGAACTCGGAACTGAGACCTGGTGGAAGCAGCTCAGAAAGGTGGTTTTTAGAAACACAGGAGAGCCGTCCTTGCTTGGAAGAGGGACAACAGGATGCGTTCTTTCCTGAGGGCGCATTCCCCGCCCCAAGAATGAGCACTGTCTGTCAGGATGTATGCCTTCCTGGGAGAAAGGTGGCCCAACGTAAGCCACACGCCCCAAAAGGCAGACAGCCGGGCACCTCCTCACCCCACGGAGAAGGAGAAGGAGCTGTTTGATGGCAGGATGCGTTCTTCACCGGGAAACTCAGAGCAAAGACAAAGCGCCCATCTCTCCATCACATCGAAGCCCTGCACTAGAAATCCCCGCAGCCCAGGGGCTGTCTCAGTGTGCGTCTCTCCTCGGGAGAGGGGCTGCCCCTGCCCTTCTGCTGGTCTGCTTTTTGCTGCTTGCCTGCGGGCCTGCTTAGTTACTCAACAAAGCTCCAAGGTTCTCTTCATAGTGACTTGTCCACAAATCCTTGTTCTCACCCCAAGTGAGGAGTTCTACATGGAAAGGGAAGCCTGGCTGAGTCCCACCTGCATCTGGAGCCCAGGTGTCCCGGGCTGGGCTGGGCTGGGGAAGGCCTGGTGTCCCGGGGTGGGCTGGGCTGGGGAAGGCCTGGTGTCCCAGGGCAGGCAGGGGCTGGGGAAGGCCTGGTGTCCCGGGGTGGGCTGGGCTGGGCTGGGGAAGGCCTGGTGTCCCGGGGCAGGCAGGGGCTGAGGAAGGTCTGGTGTCCCCGGGGCGGGCTGGCCTGGGCTGGGCTGGGCTGGTCAGGGCCACCCATTCACCTCATTCCCCCAGAACGCTTCAGTGTGCCCTGTCTCCTCAGTGTTTGCTCTGGGAAAGAATCAAACATTTATTCTCTCGTGTATCAGGGAGCAGCCTCCTCACAAGAGCGTGCACAGGGGCCAGGCTCTGCTGGCCCCCCCCCCCAGTCCCAGCCCTGCCCAGTCCGCGTGGTCAGGCTCCAGGGCTGGGGGGCAGCGGTGGGGGTGCGGCTGGCCTCACCTGGCAGGGTGGGGGATCCCCAACTCATACTCTTGCGTCTTCTCCTGGCAGCTTCAGAAGCCTGAGGTGCTGGCGACCCCAGCGGGGTGTGACTGGGGTTCTTGGGGTGCTGTGGCCAGGGTGGAAGGGGGCAGGCTCCCCAGGATCGGCGCTGGCTGGTGTTTGCCCTTGCCGCGTGCACAGCTCGCTCCGGGGTCTGCCCCTCACCTCCACCGTGGAGGCCCAGGGTCAGAGGGGCCACCCTGGCTGGACCAGGGGTGGTGTGTCGGGTGGGGGCGCAGGCAGGCTCGGGGGGCTCTAGCAGGTACCTCGGGGGTTCCAGTGGGCACTGGCTGCCCCAGGGCCGGCCGCGGTCCTGTGCCCGTCCCCCTCATAGTCACAGAGGCCGTGGGGCTGCTTCTCTCCAGAGGGACTGACCGTGCGCCCCGCGATGAGGGGCGCAGGCGACAGGCGGGGGCCGGGCAGGTCCAGCCCGGCCTGGGGTGCAGTCACCACTTCACAGCGTTGGTCAGAGCCCTCACGGGGGCCCTTCCCCCATCCCGGGAGGCTGGCGGGGTCAGGCCGGGGTGGGAGCGGAGGCACTGGGCACTTCGGGCAGGCCGGTGTCCCTTCTCCGTGCCCCCAGCCTAGCACAGCAGGCTGAGGGGCAGCTGAGCAGTCCCCATACCTTGACCCGTGTCCACCCACAGCCTGGGCCCGTCCGAGGACCCGGAAGCACACCCCACGATCTGGAGGACAGCATGGCGGACGCCGGGTCCCCAGGCTGGACGGCGGAGGGCCTCACAGTCTGCTGGTCTGCATGCGCCCGTCAGCCTCGCGGCCCCGGGGCGCCTGCGTGCTGGCCTGCGGCCGCCCACTCTTGTCCGGCCGTGGCTCGGTGGCAGCGTCCGCGTCCTCGGCACCGTAGCCTCTGCGGAGGCACAGAACCTTCCGGAAGCTCTGGCGGAAGTTGTCAGAGAGGAAGCCGTAGAGCAGAGGGTTGGCGCAGCTGTTGGCGTAGGACAGGACCACCACGAAGAAGTAGAGGCCGGCGGAGGCGGGCTCCTCGGGCAGCGCGAAGGCCAGGTTGACGATGTTGACGATGAAGAAGGGCAGCCAGCAGCCCACGAACACCGCCACCACCACCAGCACCATGCGCGTCACCCTGCGCTCCGAGCGCCGGCGCCGGGCGCAGCCCGCACGCAAGCCCGCCGCCTTCACCTTGGCCACGATGAGCAGGTAGCAGAGGCAGATGACCAGCAGCGGCCCGAAGAAGCCCAGCACGGAGGTGTAGGTGATGAAGGCCGCACCCCACAGCCCCACGGGCTCCGGCCAGCTGAGGTTGCAGGTGCCCCAGCCCTCCTGGACGTCCGCAAAGACCAGCAGCGGCAGAGCCATGAGCAGGGAGAAGGCCCAGACGGCGGCGCTGGCCAGCTTGGCCACCCGGGGCCGGCGCCAGCGGGCGGAGCGCAGCGGGTGGACCACCGCCAGGTAGCGGTCGACGCTCATGACGGTCAGGCAGAAGATGCTGGTGAACTGGTTGACGCCGTCCAGCGTCATGACCAGGCGGCACAGGAAGTGGCCAAAGGGCCAGTAGGAGACAGCATTCTGCGTGGCCAGGAAGGGCAGGCCGGCCATGAGCAGCACGTCGGCCACGGCCAGGTTGAGGATGTACACGTTGGTGACCGTCTTCATCTTGGCATGGCGCAGCACCACGTAGATGACCAGCGTGTTGCCGCCCAGCCCCACCGCACACACCAGCAGGTACAGCACCGGCACCAGCACCGCCCGCGCCCCGGCCGAGGGCGCAGGCCCAGCCACTGTCCGGTTGTGGCCACCTCCAGGGACCGAGGAGGCATTCCAGCCCAGGGCTCCAGCCGGAAACAGGGGCTCCATGGTGCTGCCCAAAGCCGAGTCCCAACCTCGTCTGTCCTGTAAGAGAAGGGGACAGTCAGCGCACTCGGGGGACGGTCAGCACACTCGGGGGACGGTCAGCACACTCGGGGGATGGTCAGCACACTCGGGGGATGGTCAGCACACTCCTCGGGGGACGGTCAGCACACTCGGGGGACAGTCAGCACACTCGGGGGACGGTCAGCGCACTCAGGGAATGGTCAGCACACTCGGGGGATGGTCAGCACACTCAGGGGATGGTCAGCGCACTCGGGGGATGGTCAGCACACTCTGGGGGGATGGTCAGCATACTCGGGGGACGGTCAGCGCACTCGGGGGACGGTCAGCACACTCGGGGGCCGGTCAGCACACTCGGGGGATGGTCAGCACACTCCTCAGGGGACGGTCAGCGCACTCGTGGGACGGTCAGCACACTCGTGGGACGGTCAGCACACTCGGGGGACGGTCAGCACACTCGGGGGATGGTCAGCGCACTCGGGGGATGGTCAGCGCACTCGGGGGATGGTCAGCACACTCGGGGGACGGTCAGCACACTCGGGGGACGGTCAGCACACTCGGGGGATGGTCAGCACACTCCTCAGGGGACGGTCAGCACACTCGGGGGATGGTCAGCACACTCCTCAGGGGATGGTCAGTGCACTCGGGGGACGGTCAGCACACTCGGGGGACGGTCAGCACACTTGGGGGATGGTCAGCACACTCCTCGGGGGATGGTCAGCACACTCGGGGGACGGTCAGCACACTTGGGGGACGGTCAGCACACTCGGGGGATGGTCAGCGCACTCGGGGGATGGTCAGCACACTCGGGGGATGGTCAGCACACTCGGGCATTCCTTCTTCCTGTCCTGCCGGCCCAGACACTGCCCGCCCTCCCAGTGGCGGCAGGTAAACACCATTAGTCACGTTCAACTGGGCCAGGAATCACATCAAGCAAATTGTTCGGAAAACGAGGTGGGAGAGGAAGGAGCTGCCGGGGCGGTGGAGCCGCGGCGGGCGGGCGGTGGACGGCGGGGACTCAGGAGGCAGGCCGGCTGTGGGTAACTCCTTGGCGGCCCTGATCTGCACACACACACACACACACACACACACACACACACACACACCAGTGGTTCCTCTGAGAGGCTCTGGAGCCCCCAGCACAGTGCTGCGGGAGAGTGACAGCGGCCCGCAGGCCTCCCCATCCCAGCGGCCCCGGGCCCGCAGGCCTCCCCATCGCAGCGGCCCCGGGCCCCAGGGCTCTGGAGGCAGGGCAGGGGGGCCACGACTGGGCTGAATCGCCCCCACACCCAGCAGCACGCACAATGCTGTCCTGCTCTGCCCCACGCTGGCTCCGCCGGCCTCCCTCTGCACTGGGGCAGCCCGGCCAGGATGCAGCGCCGCCCTCCACAGCAAGGACAGGCCTTCCTTCCGCCCGGCAGAGGACCCGCGCAGGACAAGCAGACCCAGGACACGGCGCGGGGGCTGCAGGTGCGGGGCTGGGCCGTCGGCCGTGCTGACCTGGAGCCCTGGGTTCAGCCGCTCAGCAAATCTTCGGTGGCTCAGGTCATCTCACCCAAGGACGCTCCGATGGCTCCCAGGGAGGGCCCAGGCCGGGGGATGCCAGGGACGGGCCAGAAGCCACTGCACTTCAACGACAGGAGGAAGAGGTCCACGGGAAGGGAGAACGCAGGACAATACCCCCAATCCCAGCGACAAACCCTCCTCCCCGACCCCACGGCCACTTCCTCATGTGGAGGCGTGGATCGCCTGCAGCGCTCTGCTTCCCCAGACAGGGGAGTGTCCCCAGGTGGGGAGCCCGGCCTCCACCCCACCCCACGGCTTTAGCTGCCGTCCAGGAGCTGCCTCCCCTGGGGGGGGGGCAAAGCGCCCTCAGAAGCTGCCCCGAGCAGCGGGCAGGGCCGGGGTGCGCTCTCCAGGCCAGGCCCCAGGTGGGCTGGACAAGCTGAGGGGCAGCTCCAGCGCCCAGTGCCCAGGGCCGCAGAGGAGCTTCACAGGTTGACCCCCCCGCTTGGCCCCCGGTCTCTGCCATGCCTGTAAATGTTCATTCCCCAGTACAGTTCAGAGCCGCAAAGAACAAAATAGGCCATGGAGCCATGGCTGCCTCTTGGAAAATAATTTTGCAAGAACCATTATTTCTAAGAGCAATCTTCTTAGTCACAAAAAATGACACGCTCACGGGAAAATCGCCTGGAGCCCTTTCCGGTGGAGGGGGATTCGGTGAGGGAGGTGCTGGTCCCTGGGCTTGGGCTGGGACAGGGGCTGCCTGGCCAGCACCAGGAACAGGCCCCACACTGTGCACGTCACCCCGGCACTGTCTGGGGATCCTGGGTGAGCCGTGGCAGCCTCGTGGGCGCCAGGGCCTGGGGGCTGCAGGCCAGGCCGGCCTGGCAGGAGCTGGGCGGTGGGTGACGCTGCCCGGCCCAGGCTGCCTGCGGGAGGAGCCCGCCCGGGGACACGTTTGCCTCTGCCTCCTCTGCGTCAGCCCCTTCCTGTGGCCCTGATGACCCATTCCTGCCTCCCCCAAAGTACTGCAGGCCAGGGACTCGTCTGACCCCCCCCCCCGCCTCCTGGGGGAACCTGAGGCTTGTGTGGGCAGTTGGACGTTCACGGTGGGGAGCCCAGGCCTGGCCGGTCAGAGCCCGGGGGTCTGCGTGCCCCAGGAGGCATTTGAAGACCACTGAATGAATGAGAAGGCCTCTGCTGGGCATGGCCTCCGAGGGCGCTGCCCGCGGGTCCGGTCAGGACGTGCCCTTCCTCCCACCCACACTGCCGAGCGGCCCTGGCCTCAGAGGACCCGCAGGCAGCCTTCTGTCTGGGGGCGCCTGGCACCTGGCGGTCACCTCCCCTCCCCTGGGGTGGACACGGAGGCAGGCGGGTCCCTGGGAGAGGAAGGGCGGGCGGCCACAGAATGTTCCAGCACGTTCTGGGCTCTCCACGGAAGGGCACTGGCGACCTGGGCTGGCTGGGGCCCGGGTCCCCGCGGGCAGGGCGCGCCCGGCCTCCCCGGCCT